TTCCTACTCAATAGCAATTGACATATATTTTCAATAAAAAATATACTAGCGATATTATTCTTGCATTTAATCAAGAGCTTCTGAATTCGATGTCTCTCAAGCATCGGCACTAGTGACATAGTACAAAATAAAGATAATGTTGGATTGAAAGTGGATTTAATTTGCTCTTGTGAAGTGATTTTTTCTTTTTTGTGTGGGAAAAATTTTCAATTTTTACACTTTAAAGATTTAACAAGATGAATCAATTTTTATTGTCGATTTTCAAATTTGGCAAACAAATAATCTTATATTTGGAAAAATATTTTGCATTTTTTTAAACTTTTATTTAAACAATTGTTAAAGAAAGGAAATATTGTCATGTGTATTAAAAATATTACAACTAGAGGCTTGTTTTCTTCTTCCTTTTTGGAATTCGAATTTATGATCTGTTAGTCAGAAACAGGTGTCAATTATCGTGAGTTGAGCTCGTAGTGGGAACTAGAGGTTTGGTTCCATGAAAACCGTAAAGATAACAATAAAATTGATAAAAATTGAAAGATTTATTTGGTGTTCAAGATTGACTACATTGATTTTTGTTAAATCTTTAATTCTTGTAAGAATCAGTAGGTGAGATTTTTTGTGTTCTTTTTTTTTTTTTGATGAAATTAGTTAGGTAAATCATAAATTTAATAGAAGCTTGATAAAAGAAAAAAAATTGACACTATCCAAGTCCAAAAATAGAAAGGAAAAATTAGTTACAATAATATTTATCTTTCTTTCAGACTAAAGATTCAAATTTCTATACTAAATATTTGTTGTATTAGAAAAATCCCAGTGCTAATAATATGAAGCAAATGAGTTATTATTTATTTCAAAAATGTCACAAAATTTTTGCTTGTCTCATGTGATTTAGATTTGTCCTTTATATCATTTTATTGTAAAAATTTAAACTTGATATTAGATATACAAATAAATATTTTTTGTGCTATTTTTTAATTTCCTAAAGAATAATGCAATGGACAACAGCACTAAAATTATCTTTTTTAATACATAAAAAGTCCTTTGATATCAAGATTATTGGGGAAAAAAAGAATAGATAAATCGATCATCTTTCTTCAAACAGGAACTATTTGATTTTCCCCTTCCATAGGTTAAAAGTAGATAAAGTAACAATAATAAAGGAATAAGACATAGAGATAGAAAAGCTTCGGTCTTCTGCGAAAAGCCAGGTTCAACTATAGTTGGGAATATTACAATGAAGATCACACTCAAGATATTACTATCTTGCTTCTAAGTACCATTACAATGGTCACCTAGGATTACACAATTGAAAATACCCTCAATAAACCCACGAGATATAAACTCCTTTTTTACACATTGCCCACAACCACTCAAGTCTCCCTTATTTGGATTCTGTACAAATGAAACATTAACAAAAAGGTTCTATTTATAAGAGGTCAAATATCTCAATCCTTATAGAAAAATTATATTGTAATCCTTATAAGACAATAATATCCTACTCCTTATAGGAATTGGTAGTAGTGTTGAAAATCATTTTCCTCGTAGGAGACGGTCATCTGTTTTGGTTCCATTATCCCAACAATTTCCCACTTGAAGACAAAACATTAATCTTGCCTCCCACTGCAACAACAGTCTCTGATAATCTTAGAAAACTTCAAAGCTTCTTCTACAACAACTTTTGATCTTCTTGAAAAAATCTTCAAGGCTTCTCCAGCAAGTTTAAAAACTTGTAAAACAAAATATCATAAATCATTGGTCTCATCTGTCTTTGTCCTGAGGTCGGGCAATCTACGTGGTCTTGTCTCCCAGATGCAAGACACACATCCACATGCTCCCACTCAAACTAAGTGGCGATATCTGAAGCTTCCTTCTTCGTTTTCAAACACTGATTCTTGAAGAAAGAACTTCCTACTGATGACTTGACAACTCTATTCAAGCCTGTTGCCATAATTGAAACTCCATTCTTTACCTCAGCACCGACTGGGTTCGTCTTCTTTGATGCAACTGTTCATTGACGCGACTTCATCAATTCATCAATCCGTCTGACAACTAGGGATAATCACTGACAACCTAAAGAACCTGTTATCGTTCTTCCCAATTGTTGTTCCTGAATTGATGGCAGATCCTTTTGATCTGTTCTGGTTGTCTTTGTTGCTGGCTCCGTCCTATCTCTTTGGACACCATTTGCAACTTGCATCCACTGTTTCAATGATCCTCTGGCAACACTCAACTGCGACATGTAAACTGTAGATCTTTTATGACCAACTGCCACCAACTTGGATCCTTTGGTGAGCTTCCACTGGTTCTCACCAAACTCACTTTGATAACCATCATCGTCCAACTTACCTGTAGAGATAAAGTTCATTCTGATACCGGGTACATACCTAACATCTCGCAATAATAACTCAGACCCACTATTGGTCTTCAATCGTATATTTTAAATTTCTTCAATCTTGAAAAGTCTTCCATTCCCCATCCTCACGTGGCCGCGATTACCTCTTATGAAAGATGTGAATAATTTTCTACTTGAAGATATGTGTACTGAAGCTGCGCTGTCTATTACCCACTCCGATGGCTGGTTTCCTATTTCTGTGTTGCTTTCAACACAGACGAGGGCATCGTCTACAACTGCATTTGACTCTGCCATATACCTTTCAGATCCTCTTTTAATATTCTACAGTCTTCTGCTACCTATCATCAAATGCAACCTTCTCTTTACCTTTTTCGACAGCCAATACTGAGTCTTGTGTGGAAGWAGATTCTTTTCCACTCCCATTTCTACGAATTTCTTCAGCAATTGCCGCATCACATATTTTTGAAAATTTCAAAGATTTGTCTCCTGACAAATTGAACACTGCTGTCTTCATCGTTTCCCAACTTTCAGCTAAAGATGTTAGCAACTAAATATCATTCACTTCGTCATTAAAATGAATCTTAACTGATGCTAATTGATTGATTAATTTTGTGACCTCATTTATGTGGGAATTGACAGAAGTATTCTCTTCCATTTGAATGTTAAAGAATCTCCTTACGAGATATACCTTATTATTAGCTGAGGGTTTCTCGTACCTATTCTCCAGTGCTTTCATCAGATCTATTGCTGTCATTTCGTTTGCTACGAGACTTGCCATATTCATCGATAAACACAATCTGATAAAAGCAACTACCTGTTCATTCGTCTCTACCCAATCTTCATATTTCATCCCTCCTGGTCGTTCTTTTAAAGCTTTATTCAACTTCTTGCAGGTCAAGTAATCCTTAATCTGCATCTTCCAATATTCGAAATTGGCCCCATCGAATTTCATGATTCCTTCAAAACTTGACTTCTCTACTGATCCCATGACCCTCTGAATCAAACGCTCTGATACCAATTGTTGGGAAAAAAAGAATAGATAAATCGATCATCCTGTAAGTTCTTCAAACAGGAACTATTTGATTTTCCCCTTCCACAGGTCAAAAGCAGATAAGTAAGTAACAATAACAAAGGATAAGAGATAGGGATAGACAAGCTTAACACCACGAGGATTATACTGGTTCGCCCCTATCTTTTGATTACGTCTAGTCTTCTGCGAAAAAGTAGGTTCAACTATAGTTGAGAATATTACATTGGAGATCACACTCAAGATATTACTATCTTGCTTACCTAGGATTACACAATTGAAAATACCCTCACTAAACCAACGAGATACAAACTCTTTTTTCACACACTACCCACAACCACTTAAGTCTCCCTTAATTGGATTCTCTACAAATGAAACCTTAGAAGTCAAATATCTCAATCCTTATAGGAAAATAATATTGTAATCCTTATAAGACAATAATATCCTACTCTTTATAGGAATTGTTAGTGGTGTTGAAAATCCTTTTCCTCGTAGGACACGAGTCATTTGTTTTGGCTCCATTATCCCAACAGGTTATAAATGTGATAAGAACTATTGTTCCGGTTGTACATACATAGGAAATGTTAGGTGCATAGTCATTTTGATTTTTTCTTCCTCTCAAAAGTAAAAACCAGGTGATTGTCGTTTTTTTTAATAAACCTATATCTGATAGTTCTTTTTTACTTTTGTACTGAAAAAAACTATTTTTTACTTTATATATACATATTTTTTAGAGATTTATCAAATAGAAAAATATGTAAATAAAAAAAATAAAAGAAAAACGTTTGGAGAGATGGAGAGAAAATTTTTTGAGAAAAAAAAATTAAGAGTAAATTTATCAAGACAGAAAAAAAGATTTAGAAGAGAAGTAAAAGAGAGATATATAAAAAAGTATTAGTTAGGGAAAGAAAAAAAAATTATAGAGCAAAAATAAAAACATATCCGTCAATATATTAAACTTCTCCTATTGAAGTTGGAAGTTTTAAAGAACTACAATTTACGACATAAAAGTCGAAAAATGCATAAATTCACCATTAAACTAGTCTCTCAAAACTCACAAATTCTAGTTTAATTTTTTAGGTCTCATCAATAATTTTGTACAACACACATATTTTATACCATAGTAAACACAAATTTAGCGCATATATTTATATACATATATTACAATTCCTTCAACAAAAGTCTATAAAAAAAAAAAAAAGAAATTGCATTATCAATTTAAGTTCTAATTTGATGAATGAAAAATCTAGACGAGAAAAAAGATTAAAAAAAAATTATCTTTTTCCAAAAAGGAAAAAAGCCGAATTATACGACCACCGACTTTTTTGTTTTGTTGGTTTCCGTTCGTCCTTTTTGTCATAAGTAATTTACAGCTATGGTGAGCGGTGTGCGACAATTATAAAGCCATAACAATGGAACAAAACATCGTCGAAATGGATTTGTTGTGGATCTTCGTCCTTCTACTTTGCTTAGCATAGTTTTCGTCTTCAATCTTAACCCTTAATTCCAAAACAAGAACCGGTGCCGGCGCCGCCATTTCCAAGCTACCTCCCGGACCCAGACCTTTGCCGGTGATCGGAAACCTTCTGGATCTCGGCGACAAGCCCCACAGGTCTCTGGCCAATCTGGCCAAATCTCATGGCCCTATTATGACCTTGAAACTCGGCCGAGTCACCACCGTCGTAGTCTCCTCCGCCGCCATGGCCAAGGAAGTTCTCCAAACCCACGACCAGTTTCTGTCCTGCAGAACAGTTCCCGACTCCATTACCACTTACAACCACGAAGTTCTGGGTCTCCCATGGCTTCCGGTTTCGCCCCTCTGGCGAAAACTCCGACGAATTTGCAATACCCAGCTGTTCGCCGGAAGGATTTTGGACGCTAACCAGAATCTCCGGCGAGCCAAGGTGGCCGACCTCGTTTCACAAGTTTCCAGAAGTGCTTCCAAAGGTGATTTTAACCTAAATGGATAGATAGATTATGGTATATTTTGATTTTTGTGTGGTTTTAATTTTTAAATACATCCCATCCATCTTTTAGGTTTCCCCCCTTAATATTTTAAAATTCTCTTTAGTTTATATTAAAAAAACTGTTAGAACGTGATTTGGAGAGGCCAATCAAACCAGAGTGGTCCAAATTGGACCTTGACGAATTGTGAATAAGGGAAAGTTGGATCCTTAACTTGAATGACTGGATCAAAGATGACCAGTAAAAAGGAAGGTGAGCTAAAGCCTGCGTGGCGTGGCGGCACAACGGGTGCTAAAGTTAGTCAGGGAGCATAGGGAGAGAAGAGAGGAGAGTATATTTAGTTGTATAGAATTTTATCATATCATTTTTCAATCTCCTTTTATCTCCTTGGGAAGACTTGGACCCCTTGTATTATACAAGTGCTGGAACTTCTTCTCCGCGTAAGTAAAGAATGGGTGGCATCGAAGGCAAGTTTCCCAGACTTTATACACCACGGGGAATGTGAGTAGGGTGATGGGCTGTCGTACAGGGTGACCGCGGTGGGCACAAGGTAGTATGAGAGTTGCATTCGCTTAGCGTGGGAAAGGATAGCGCGGTTGCGGAAGCCGTGCTCCTTGCCGTGGATAAGGGGCGGCACGACTTCTCAACGCCAAAGGAGCAAACCCAACCGCACATCTCTTATCCGCATCAAGCAAACGCGACTGCATGGGCTGCATTTGCTTGACGCGGATAAGAGATGCATGGCCGGGCCCACTCCCTTGACGTTGAGAAGGGACGATGTTATCGTGTGAGCCACACTCTGCTTGGCCTTTCGAAGAGGCACAACCATATAAACTGTGCATGAGAGAAAGTTTGTGTTAGATAGATTTCTAATACAACATAGATTTCATTCATGCCAATATGACTATTAATTGCATTTAATCCTTTTTTGAGGTGGGAGGTTCAAACTCTACACTCCCAATTTGTTGCTCTAAAAAAACATAGATTTCATTCATGTGTCAAAAGTAGCATTAAGTTGCACATTCACATATCCAAATATTTTTATTAAAATAATAATTTAATGATATATTAACCTTTTATTAAAAAAATTCAACCATGAAAGTGGGGAGGAAAGAAACTAAGAACGAAAAAAATATAGAAAAAGATGAGACGAGAAAAAGTAGGAAGAGGAAGAGAAGTAAAAGCCCAAGATTTTGAAAATAAAACCTACTTAAAGTTTAAACCATTAAACATAGAAAAATAAATCTATTTTAAATAAAATAGAAAAATTGGCTAAATTTGAATTCAATCTTTAAATTTTTTAAAAGTAAAACTAAAAAGTAGAATTAAATTTAAAAAGAGAAGAGGTTGGATTTAAAAGAAGAAATGAGAAAAATATCACGTGCCTCTATCACACTCTAATACTGCGCTGCCGTAAACGTAAATATAAATATTTAATTATTAATTATATTAAATATAAATATATATAGAATATATAGAATGTGGTCGGGTCTGGATTTACTCTTCAGTTTGCAATTCTAAATCGAAATTGGAGCACATATTCGATTTGATTTTTATTATTAATCTAATTGAATCGTAAAACCACTAACAATTCTAGAACAAGACTAAAAACATATATAAATATATTTATTAGTGTCTATATCACTTCTAGATTAGACTTGTGATAGACCCTGTTAGAGATAAGACATTGATATTATGTTGGTGTTAGTTCTTTGAATGAAATCTGAGATTGAAGAATAGTCCATCCTTTAACTTATATTTATCAACTCAGCTTCATTATCAGGCTTGAAATTCAAACACCAGCCTAAGCCCAACCAAATGTCTAACGTTTGACCGGTCTGGTTCAATTAGTCCTTCTATCAATTGGATTGAATATATATGAATCTTCATTTTTTTAAAATTCGCCTTGTATTAAGGCATGATTCAATAATTTATTAATATTAATATTATATAATATATTAATATATTATTTATTTATTTTAAAAAAACAACGACACATCAATCTATTTAATAGGCTGGATTGGACAATAAACCTAAATTTAAGTGGTTGGGCGGGCCCAAACTAAGCCCAACCAATACTTGAGACATGTAGGACTTGGGTCTAGGCCAACCTCCTTCCGTTTCTTCAGGCTAGGCTGACCTAATGATAAAGCTGACCGAAGATGGTGTAATTAATAGTTCTAGAGATAGCGTCGCAACAAAAATGTCTTCAGTCCACCCAGCAATATCGATGGTCCTCTACCTCTTTTGGGTTGGGTATGAGACATAAATGTTTGTGACTGCTGAAAGTTTTCATCAACATCCAATCAAAAAAGTAGTTTGTAGAATGTGAAATAGATGTTGATAGCACGGCCATATCACCTTACAAAATTGTTGTATCTACAAAGTTTTATATTCCGTGTGCTATATTTACTATAATATGGTAGAACTATTTCCTATCCATTACAATTTTCCTTGCAATAAAAGTAAATAATATGAACAGGTGAGATGGTGGATTTTGGGAAGGTAGCATTCTTGACGTCGTTGAATCTGCTTTCGAACACGATCTTCTCGGCAGATTTTGTGGACCCAAATTCTGAAATTGGGAAAGAGTTCAAGCAAGCAGTAAGAGGGATTATGGAAGAAGCTGCAAGGCCAAATTTGGGGGATTATTTTCCTCTACTGAAGAAGCTAGATCTTCAAGGCATAAAGAGGAGACAAACTGTTAATTTCGATAAGGTTTTTAATGTGTTGGAGCAGATGATGGACCAGCGGCTACAGCTGCAGCAGCAAACCCCCACTTCTGCGCCCAACAACGACTTGTTGCATAATCTTCTCAATCTCACCCACCAAAATAGCGACATGGAAATCAGCAAAATTGAAGTCCAACACTTAATATTGGTAACTACCCACTTCACCCTTTTAAATAACTTCTCTTTAATATTTAAATTTACTCTGCTTTAATTCTTTTTCTTTGGGACTCAATGCTGGATTAATCTTAAATTGTGTTGATGGGTTTCCATGTTGATGTAATTGAAATTAGGTGCTGTTCGTTGCTGGGACTGATACAAGTTCTGCAACACTGCAATGGGCAATGGCAGAGCTCCTAAGAAACCCAGAAAAGTTATCCAAAGCTCAAGAAGAAAGCAGGCGGGTGATTGGAAGAGGGAACCCAATTGAAGAATCAGACATTTCAAGGCTGCCTTATCTACAAGCAATCGTGAAGGAAACTTTCAGATTGCACGCACCAGCTCCTTTTCAACTGCCCCGTAAAGCGCTACAAGACGTAGAGATTGGAGGTTTCAAAGTCCCAAAGGACGCACAGGTGCTGGTGAATGCATGGGCTGTTGGCAGAAATTGGGAAAATCCAGAGTCGTTCGAGCCAGAGAGGTTTTTGGAGTCGGAAATGGAAGTTAGAGGCAGAGATTTTGAGCTGATTCCGTTCGGTGGTGGGCGTAGGATTTGTCCTGGTTTGCCATTGGCGATGAGAATGATGCATTTGATGTTGGGTTCGCTGGTTCACTTCTTTGATTGGAAGCTTGAAGATGAAGATGTGAACATGGACGAGAAGTTTGGCCTCACTGTGGAGATGGCTTTTCCCTTGAGAGCCTTGCCTGTCCTTGTCTAATTTACAACTAAAACTTTGCATTTTTATTGCCTGTTCCTATCTTTGCTTTTTTTTTTCTCCTTCCGGTATCAATCTCTCTTTATACAGGTTTATTGTTTCCTCAAGTTGCAAACATTTCTTCTCTTTATATTTTTTGATCAATCCAACTTATCTGTATCAAAGCCAACTCTTGGACAAGAGGTGTTGATGCATGTTTCTAAACAAAGTTAGATGTCAGCTCTAGTCTTACGTGGCTTTTACATCAACTCTACTAGCACCCGCAGGTAGAAACTTGCATTGACATGATGTTAGCTACGTGCACTCCGATATTTAAGTTAGCATTAAGTAGAAGGTGGTGTGAGCTTAAATTGCAAAAGATTGCATATCTTTGAAAAGGTGGGAGCCACTTTTTATGGGGAGGGAGTATGGAGCATTCAGATTCTGTTGTTACCTCGTCTGCTATACTTGTAGCTTTGTGGGGTTTCACCACCAATTGGAAGATATTCTAATGGCAGAATCTTGCTGAATGTTGAGATTTTTTGTCGATAGAATCATTACCTAAATTCGAGTTAACCTCTGCTTGTTTTGTCACATACTCTTCCTCCTCATCTTTGAGGCATCCGAGCTGAGGCTTAGACACGCATACCTAAACAAGAGAGGCACGTGTGACATTGGATTTTACCCTATAACAAAAGGGAAGAAAGATTCTCTACAAATCTACTATCAAGTATCAAATACAATTAAGAAAGAGTCCTTTCTACTGTGCAACACTAGTACCAATACAATTAAAACAAATTCATGGCCAAAGAAAGATACCTCCCAAAAGTCTAGAGCAATCTCTAGACTCTCTATTCAATTATGTCAAAAGAGCACTCTCCGTTCCAAATTAATAGACTAGTCAATTAGTTAAGATATTATACATTTGTTCTAGAGATCCTTTCTTTCCAAGCGGAAAAATTAATTTCAACCCTTAAACTTAGCAAATATTTTTAATAAAAATTTAGACAAATGTTATATTTTTGCCTTTCATAAAAATTTCTAAAAGTTCATTAATTTCAAGTAGAAATTAAGCTCTACCAATATACAAGATAGAACATGGAGTAACTTTAGAGATTTCAACAAAATTTCAACTCTAATGTCTTTTTCTGTTAAGATTTCATCAATTTTGTACTAAACATATATTTGTAATTCAATTTTCTTCTTACTTTATTTTTTGGTTAACTGTATTTTTTTTAGTATAGCTGGCCTGAGACCTCGTAGCTACAAACAGGTGCCAGTACTGCTGAGCTTAACTCGGCCGGTTGATGGTATCGGAAATAGATAGGAAAAGAAAGATAAAAAGTCAGCATATTCTGATTAAAAAATGACGCAGCTTCTTCAACCCTCTGTGTCTCTGCGATCGTTGCGCCAAGGTTTTCAATTTTCCTCATCTCTCTCTTTCCCTCCCAGTCCCTCTAATTCCATCCGATTTCGACCCTTCTCCTCCAAAATGTCGGCCGATTCTCCAGCTCCAAGTCAATCCATCACCCTGCCTTGTCAAATCCAGCAGCCCGTGCAGATTGTCGCCGCACCCGGCGTCTCCGATTCCGATTTCCGGCTAGTTCAATACCCTTTCTAATCTTCTTCTTAATGTCACGAATGTGCAACGAAGATTACTTTCTAATTTCATTGATTATATTTTTTGGGTTCTTTTTTTTTCGGTGCCCTATATTGCAGGAATGCTATTGATTCATCATTGTTCAAGCAGTGGCTGATGAACTTGCAAGGTGAGAGTGGGATTTTAGCGAAGGGAACCATGTCTCTGAAACGAGTACTTATTCAGGTTGTGGAGAAAAGAACTATCCATTTTTAGCGTCGAATTTTTTATTGTTTCACTTTTTGGTTATGATTGATTGAGGGGTTTTTGTTTCAGGGAGTTGATATGTTCGGAAGTAAAATTGGGTTTCTCAAATTCAAAGCCGATATCTATGATAAGGAATCGGGGAAGAAGGTATCTGGCGATTACCATTTATTCTTTCTGCTGCCGAATTTGTTGAAATCTGTTAATTGAGACTAATAGTGAGTTTGGAATGCCTTTTGAGAACAGTGTTTCTAAGTGAAACTCTTTTTCTGTTAGCACTTTTAGGAGAAAACTTTGCAAAACACTTCCTAAGTGCTTTTATCTGTTTTCAGTTTTTAACCAAACACTGCCAATTTTTACAAAACACTCTTAGGTGTCCATAACTACTTTAAGAGGCTGGTCAAACACATCCCAAAATCAACTTAACTTTATTTAGATTAGTCTATCTGTTTTAACTTTATTTAGATTAGTCTATCTGTTTTTCTTACTTTCATCAGAACGAGGCTCTGTTCAATCAGTATTATGCTAGCTGCTAAGGAAATCAATTAGTCACTAATATAATAAGATGTAAACAAACTTTGGGGAATCGATGATTGGTGCTGTTTCTTTCTTTTCCACGAACTAAAACTTGCTTAGGTTCCAGGTATTGTATTTGCTAGAGGACCTGCTGTCGCGGTGCTTATCCTTTTGGACTGTGGAGGAGAAACTTATGCTGTTCTGACCGAGCAGGTTGTTGTTTTGTTTGTTATTACATTTTGAAGTTCGCCAGTTTTATTGAGATATAAATCCTTAGCATGTAAGTCGATGCTATACTAAATAACTATCAGGGGTTGCAATTATTGGGTTGTTTACTGTGAAACACTATTTGAAATTTGAATTCTGATCACACTGAGTTGAAATTTCATGTGTTAAGGTCAGAGTTCCTGTTGGGAAACTCATGTTGGAATTGCCTGCTGGTATGTTGGATGATGACAAGGGGGATTTTGTTGGCACAGCCGTTCGTGAGGTCTGATCTCTCTCTCTCTCTCTCTCTCTCTCTCTCTCTCTCTCTCTCAATATGATGTGAATTTCTGTTTGTATAAATCGAAAAATGAAAATCCTTGAGTTTATGTTGATATACTGATCTATGGTAATTTCATTCTTCTTTTCTTCGTGAAATCTCTGTTTTTCTCATCTCCTTTAGATATATTTTTTGTGTTAATTATCAAGTTGTGGTTTGATGCAAAGAGGTACATGTCGATGTAGAAGCAAAACGTTAGTGACTTATACTTGAAGAGTTGTGCAAAAGAGAAATCTAATGCACGATAGAAATATTACCCAATTTTTTACTAGATAATCCAAGTTTTGCAGGTCTTCATTTAAGGAAGAGTGAAAGTTTTCCATGGCTTGATGTGTTATTTGGTGTGGCAATCATGGCAGGTCGAAGAGGAAATCGGCATTAAGTTAAAGCTTGAGGACATGGTCGACCTTACTAGCTTCCTTGACCCCTCGACTGGATGCAGAGTCTTCCCTTCTCCAGTAAGTTCGCATTTAACAAATATCAATCTCTGATGTTTTAGTAAGAGCTACTGTTTTTGTAATATAAGGTAGAGGATCCATCTTAATCTTATAACTCAGTCCAACAGTTTAAGTTTCCAGCCAAACAGAATTGTAATGAGAAAAAGACTGGCAATGCTGGTTCCAACTACCTAGTTCCCACACCAGCCCACTACATTCGAGAGTGCCTCACTCTACCCACCGAGACTACCCAAAAAGTCTCCTGTCTCTTCTAAATCACCACACTTTCCCATTTTTCAGTCCCTCGAAATTGGAGGCTTATCACAGTTCCAAAGAAACTACTACACAAAAAACACCCCGAACATCTTAGTTTTTTTGTTTGCCACATCATCGTTTCATAAATTTCCCACTTGCCCTTGTTTTTTGTATATCAGCAAGGCAGGACTGATTGTTATTTTACATGTTCGTGGTTAGGGAGGATGTGATGAGGGAATCGGTCTCTTCTTTTACCGAGGTTCCGCAAGTAAAGAGACTATTTCAGAGCTGCAAGGAAGGGAAACTGGCCTCAGGGAACATGGTGAGCTGATTAAGGTTCATGTGGTTCCTTATGGAAAACTCTGGAGGGTAACAGCAGATGCAAAGGCCCTAATGGCCATTGCACTCTATGAAATGGCTCAGAGGGAAGGGCTTTTGCCTTCTCTTCACCCTGTATCTGATCTCGCACCTTGAAGCCAATGGAGTTTATCGTTTTAACCCAATTGAGTTTTATGCTGGTTTGTGTAAAAGGGTAACAAAGTTTCTTAACACATGCTTTAAGAAGAATAACTAGTTTCCACAAAGTTGTGTAGCACCCAAGATTTGGAATCCATATTTGGCACTGGGTGGCCTACCATTTCTCTGCATCTCGTGTGATGCATTTCCCTACATCCTTGCAACCCGGTTATTAGGGATGGCAAAAAAACTTACGGGACCCAATCGAGTTGGGGAATCTCCGGTTTGACTGGGGACGGGGTCAAACCGGGGATTCTAATTGAGGTCCCTAGGGGGACTGGGGGAGGTCTCCCCGCCCCGTTTAATATTTCATTGTTTTTTATATTTTTATATAATAATATTAATATATATTAATATTGATAAATACTTTTAAGTTTTTATATATATATGACCAATGCCCATTTAGTCACATTTTCTTTAGTTTTAACACTCATGCAAATAAAAAAATAATAATAAAAAAAAATAAAAATACTTATCAGGTCAGGGAATCCCTACCCCATACCTTCCTCCAAAATTGAGGGTGAGGATGGGGATGGTCTCCCCGATCCTGCGCCACCCTGTTGCCATCCATACTGGTTATGTCATCGACTTGACTTGAGTTGCTTGGAAGAGTGAAGATTGTCCCTACATATCCTTCAACATGTCTTGTCTTTGCATGTTTTCTAGGAAAATCTCCTAGTAGGTCACAAAACCTAAGATTGCTTCAAATGAAGTATGCATAACTTTAGAGTTTTATGGTTGAGTTATCAAAAAGAGAGGTGTACTTTATTGGTATATGTAATTATTATCAGTTCTTTTTTTTTAATATTCATTTACCATGTTTGCATGATTTCAGGATGCCCCGATGTGGGTTCATTCATATATCTCTCTTCTCTTAGGTGTCACAAGTTAGATGTGCACTTGTGATAATTATGTTGCATAGATTTAGATATGGACTATTTAATATAAATAACATATAGAATTTCTATACTTGAGTGAGCTGGATAGCTAAATTATCTCAATGAAGCCTTCTCAACTTGGCTACGAACAGTAGCTATCACTATCTTTCTAATATATGTTGTTTATAACATTTCCAAATAGCTTATATAGAAAAAGAGACAAATTACTGTTTCGAGCATAAATCAGTGGATAAGATAGCCATCATCTCAAATGTTTACGATTCAATCTCTTCTTTTACCATTGTTACACCCTACGGTCTTCTTGATCTTTTAGGTTAGGTTTAAAATAGATAGTAGTTAGTTGCCCTACTTTCTGTCTTTCTTTCCACTATTATGTTGCTCTGGTCTCATTCTCTAATTGCCTTCCTCTAATCTCCTTCTTCTCTTCCTCATCGTTGGGCAACCCCCCTCCCTATGGTTCCCAACTCAAAGTCAAAGTCCATCTACATGCACATAGAGGGCGGCTCTTTGGATTAGTATTTATATCCTTAGCAAARGTTCTCTCAGACACCACTTTCTTTGCTTCAATCATCGACCTCTAGAACCACCGCCATCTCAAAATAAAGACATTGACAAGTATATTATAAGTGAGGGACAACATCTTCATTGATATGAGGTCTTTTTAGTTGAAACTAAAGGTAGAAGCATGAGTGCTTATGCTCAAAGTGGACAATATCATACCAYTGTTTATTAAATCTCATAGATTAAAAGGAATTTTCTCTAAGAGAAAATCTCGAATTCTATTCAACCAACTCTGAAGTCAAAAATTCAGTTTCGAGTGAAATAGTCCTACATAAAGCTTGATGATTATTACAAGGAATGCACTTCAAAGCCTATTTGGCCACATCAATTTGTTGTCTTCAAGTTTGGAGGCATCATGAAACTTCAAAGTTTGAATTTGATTAGTCTTATTCATGAAAATTTGGATATAATAGTAGAGTTTAATAACCATAATTTCACTACAACACAAAAATTAGTTCCTTTGTTCTCAAAACAAGAGCTAAATTTGAGAAACAAACGGCCTAGTATTGTTATCTACATCAAGATTGCCAATAATTGCAACAGGCCAAGTCGGATAATGACAATCTTAAAGCCCATAAACAAATAATTCATAAAGTTAATACATCATTCACGTTGCTATCAGTAGGAACCATTCACCACAACCCTCCAATTGCATTCCGTTATTGGCTTTGAAAGTTTCATACAGCAGCGCCGGCCAGAACTGGGCATCTCTCTCCAATATAAAAGGTGTTATCTGGTGAATTTACAGAGGGCATCATCAAGCTTTAGCCTTTTTGCTTTTAACTTCCTTAAAACATGGTTGTTTTGCCTTCTCTTTTCCTTCTCGTCTTGTTTCACTTTCATGGTGGTGGGGCTCGCCCCACATCGAGCAACCTTCAAACTTACATTGTCCATGTGAAGAAACCAGAGAAGCTATCAACTTATGGGCAAGTAGAGGATCTAGAGAACTGGCATAGGTCGTTCTTACCATCGAGTTCGGAGGATCATCCAAAGTTGTTGTATTCGTTTCRAAATGTGATGAGTGGTTTYGCCGCAAGACTCACCGAAGAACATGTGAAAGCAATGGAAGAGAAGGATGGTTTCATTTCGGCGAGGCGCGAAAGAATATTGAAGTTGCACACCACTCACACCCCAAACTTTCTTGGACTAAACCGGCAATTCGGGTTCTGGAAAGACTCGAATTTTGGAAAGGGAGWGATCATAGGAGTGTTGGACGGTGGAATTACACCGAACCATCCTTCGTTCGACGATGCAGGAATGCCACCACCACCGGTGAAATGGAAAGGAAGATGCGAGTTTAATTTCTCAGCATGTAACAACAAGCTTATAGGTGCGAGGTCTTTCAATCTCGCAACAAAGGCCTTGAAGGGCGAACAACCAACAGCTACAGACTCTCCTATTGACGAAGATGGGCACGGGACTCACACAGCGAGCACCGCAGCTGGTGCTTTCGTAGACGAAGCAGAGGCATTGGGAAATGCCAAAGGCACAGCCGTTGGCATGGCGCCTTTAGCTCACCTTGCCATCTACAAAGTCTGCTTCGGGGAGGATTGCCCAGATAGCGATATTCTTGCAGCACTCGATGCAGCTGTTGAAGATGGCGTTGACGTGCTCTCGCTCTCTCTTGGGAGTGATTCGGCTCCATTTTTCAGAGATGATATTGCCATAGGCGCATTTGCAGCCACTCAAAAGGGAATTTTCGTCAGTTGCTCGGCTTCTAATTCGGGGCCTCTCAATGCCACATTGTCCAACGAAGCCCCGTGGATTCTAACGGTTGCAGCCAGCACCATTGATCGAAGAATCATAGCCACAGCCAAGCTTGGAAATGGAGAAGAATTCGATGGCGAATCTCTATTCCAGCCGAGTGATTTCCCACCAACATTATTCTTGCCTCTCGTTTACGCCGGTGAGAAAAACGAAACGGCTGCATTATGCGGAGAAGGTTCGCTAAAAGACATTGATGTAAAAGGAAAAGCTGTGGTGTGCGAGAGGGGAGGAGGAATTGCAAGAATTGCAAAAGGAATGGAAGTCAAGAACGCGGGCGGCGCCGCCATGATCCTCCTAAACCAACAAACAGATGGATTCACCACCGAGGCGGACGCTCACGTTCTTCCAGCCACCCATGTCAACCACGTGGCGGCGCTGAAGATCAAAGACTATATAAACTCAACACATAACCCCATAGCCGCAATTGCATTCAGAGGAACCGTCATCGGCGACGACGACTTCTCTCCGGCCATCGCTTCCTTCTCATCCCGAGGCCCCAGCCTTGCAAGTCCTGGTATTTTGAAACCCGACATAACCGGTCCCGGCATCAGCATTTTAGCTGCATGGCCATTCCCATTAGACAACAACACAAAAAACACCAAACCAACATTCAATGTAATATCAGGAACATCAATGTCGTGTCCTCATCTCAGTGGCATTGCAGCTCTGATCAAGAGCTCTCATCCTGACTGGTCACCAGCCGCCATTAAATCAGCCATAATGACCACTGCGGATATAACAAACCACAAAGGCAGGCCAATCCTCGATCAGAATTTCCAACCGGCAGACTTGTTTGCAACCGGCGCAGGCCACGTAAACCCATCAAAGGCAACGGACCCAGGATTGGTTTATGACATTCAACCAGACGATTACATTCCTTATCTATGTGGTTTAGGATACAAAGATAATGAAGTTTCAATTATTGCTCATCAACCAGTTGATTGTTCAGCAAAGCCAAGCATTCCAGAAGGAGAGCTCAACTATCCATCATTTAGCGTCGCGCTAGGACCACCGCAGACGTTCACAAGGACAGTGACGAACGTCGGCGGTGGTTATGAAGTTTACACCGTCATGATTGAAGCGCCGCCATCGGGCGTTTCTGTGACAGTCCGACCAAGAAAGATATTCTTCTCCGCAGTGAACCAGAAAGTGGCATATTCAGTTACTTTCAAGCGCATTGGTTCAATTACACCACCCTCTAGTGGCTCCGCCCAAGCCTATCTCAAATGCATGTCTTCTAAACACATTGTTAGGAGTCCCATCTCGATTAAGTTTGTGTGAGCTTTGGTTTCAAACATTGACCCAACACTATATCAATTGTGTGTGATGTGTYGKATTCTTATTACTCTATTCTATTCTTGTTATGTTTAATAAAGTAAAATACTTTGCTCCTTGTCYGTAAGGATCTATATGGTCCTGACCACTATCGAAAAATTGATAGTTCATTATTTTTAAAATAGATTTTTTATTTTTGCAKTTCTTTCTTTTAGTTGTTAAACATTCAAGATGATCACGACCATATAGGTYGTAAAGAGGCAAGTATTTTCTTTTAATAAATGAGTGTCAAAGAGTAATATATACCTCACTTATTATCGTCRGTAAAAAAGAGAGATTAAAAAAGAATAAATAGCTGGTAAAGGAACCAAGTTTAATCCACTCTTGTTAACATTCCAACAATTTCATCTACATTTCCATCTATGTCGGATTGCCTAATGGGTGAAACGRGCAAAACAGTCAACAAAAAAATTATAAAGAAAACAATAAAAAGATCTCTAACCTGAACACGTTATATTAATAATAAGAATTTTGAACTTATTTAGAAATGGTAAATTAATTATTTGTGTATTTAAATAATCTTATAATTTCTTTTTATAATTATGACTTTTTAGAAATATCAATCCACGTTGATATTTTCATAATGTCTATGGATTAGATAAAGGTGAATCAAGATATACAATCGAAAAAATATTAATAAAATTTAATAAAGTATCACAKGGACATAATATTAATAACAAGAATTTTAAACTTATTTAAAAAGGATGAAACGATTATTTTGAAGTGTGTTAATTTTTTTAATTAGAATTACGTTAAGTTAATGGCATGTTAAACTGAAGTAAAATTTTCATTGAATTTCACTGGAATGATGAAAGAAATATTTTTAGGTAGCAATTTTGAACGTACTCTAAAGTAATTTTAAAAAATTAAAACTAAAAGCACTTTAGAATAATTTTAGGTAAAATAATATGTAATTATTACTTCCCAAAAATATTTGGCTAGAAAATAATAAAAGTCATTCAATTAATTAGATAATTCAACAATCATTCGCATAWATCTCCAATTAAGAAATTGTAACTTCAATCTTCCAYCCTCACATGTTATACTAAAAAAGTTCTCACATGTTGTACTAAAAAAATTAATTACCGCACAAATAGCTTTTAATATATAGGTTGGGGCTGGGCCATTTCACCCATTAATTTTAGGATTTTTTTAATATTGTTAATATTTAAATTTATTTTGAATAATCAACATGAACTTAGTTTAGCGGTAATTGATAGTTCGAATCTATCTACTTCCACCTATTGTAATTATAAAAAATAAAAAAAATAAAAAAAAAAGGAAAGAAGGAAAGAAAGATAAAGACGATCTTTCGTAATGCAATATATTGTGAAAGATTTTTAGTAGTAAATATTTTATTTTATTTTTTTCTAGAATTAGTAGAAATATTTTTAATAGGTAACATTTATTTAAATTTGTTTAAAAAGAAAAAATATTGCAATATATTATTTTATTAGATAAAAACGAAAAAAAGGAAAAATATGATATTATGAATTTAAATAGTTAACATTTATTTAAATTTGCAATATAGCAATATTCTTTTTTAAAAAAATCCATTAATTCGCAGGGACCACACACAACAAATATTTAGACTTTCTGAAATTTAAATAAAATAACAACTATTATGGGCGACCATAGAAAATGATTAATTTAAAATTAAACGAGCTTAGAAATTTGAGAAACCGTTGGATTACGTTCTAGAACTCACGAGCTGGCTGAAGTTTTGTTTATTTTATTTTTGCGGTCTAAAAAAACGTTAGGAATTCCAACACCAAACCTTAATTAGTTAAAAAGAACACTTATTTTGGTGTTGGTCGGTCCACCAGTACACATCTTTTGCTAATTACTATTAAATTTAGTACAAATAGAGAGAAAAATGCAAAAAGTATATATATTTTTATTTTTTTTGTAGCTGTCAAATTTTTTGTTAAGAGGTCATTAGCCACTAAATATTGTTCTTACTTAAATTAGGTTCAAATTAGACTTGTATAGATCTTTTGTACAAAAATTTGATTGATAGTACTTTTTGCTGATCTCTCCAGACCATGATTAATTAGTTCAACTAATTAAGGGTGAATTTGGTTGATAATGTGAAAACGAAAATTTAAAAACAAAGGAATCCATGAAAATCATAGTTGTATTCTATAATTTCAATGTTTTCGGATACGTGTTTGGGAGCTGATCTAAAATTTGAATCTCAAATTAAAAAATTGTTCAAGTTGTTTAGTAATATATTTGTAACCTAATGATAATTACCTACCAATCTTTAGTTTAATCTAATAAAATATTAATTAATTTATTAACATATATATGTTATAAATTTTGATATTATTATTATACAATATTATGTAATTTATAATATATTATATTTTATCTTTGTAACTTAACAAAAATGAAATGAATTTATAATATGAAATAGTATATTTATCTAAATTTCTAAAATTCTACATTTTAAAGTTTCAAGTTCAAAATCTGAGTTAACATGAACATAACAGAGTTCTTAAAGCATCTTGCTCTTTCCTTAAAAATCCAAAGTTCAATTTTTTATCCCTATCGTTATTGTACTAAGAAAAGTTCAAAACCAAAAATCACTGTAAACATGCAAATATTATTTTCGAAATTTCCACTACTTAGATCATAGAATTTGAAACATATTTTTCAAAAACAAAATTTTCATTTGATTCATTGAATTTTAAAATAAAAAATTTAACTCGAATGGTATACCAAACATCTCATCTCATGAGTAATAGGTTTGAATTTTTTTATACTAACGTAGTATAATTAATTTAAAATAGACAACGTGGGAATAAATGATAATCTATCGTGGACTACCCTGCAAAGCGTGTTTTTCAAAAAAATAAAAAAAAGAAAGAAAAAAAAAACATGAAAAGCAGATCGTTTAAGAGGTAATTAAATATTCATGTTTCTCATGAGTTATAGATTTGATTTTTTTTTTATAAATAATATAGTATAATTAATTGAAAATTAAAAAGTAATTTAAAACAAACAACTTAGGCTATCATGAAAAGCGGGTGGTTTAAAAATTAAAAGTGGCTGTCTAACTTTTTGAAACTTGTATTTTGAATAGAGTTTTAATAAATATGAATTTAGCCAGACCAATGTTTATATCTGTGATGAATAGATTATGAGTTCGAATTTTCCACGTCCAAAATGGAAAATAAACAAACATGAGTTTAAGGTGTCATTATTTTTTAAAATTTTTTGGAAATGAATTATTTGATTCACCCATTTTCAATTTTACTTTAAGTTAGAATACTTTTTAAAAATATGTATTAAATAAAATACTCTTCTCTTCTTTTTTTCAAAATCTTTAAAGTAAAAAATATGTTTTATCCACGATTAGACTCACTTTTCAATTAATTGTACCAAAATGTCCAATAAATAGATATATCAGTAACAATCTAATCTTTGAAGAAGAAGAAAAATAAATAAGTAACCTTTCATCTCTCTATTTTCTTGTATGCATTCCTCCCCTTTTCTTACGGTTATAAAAAACCATAATAGTAATATGTAGGATGGACTATACGGATTAACTAAACAGTAACTAAGTATTATTCTTATTTTATTATAGTTTTTTAACTTTAAAAAAATAAGCCTTTCAATTTGGCATAAATGTGATTTTTCTTAGTGTCTTTTATGTTACATTCGAATTCGATTTGGATAATGATATACTAGTAAAATTTTAAACTTTTTGATATATTTATAAATATATATTTATTTCATGCTAATTATTTAAATGCTTCTAGAAAATACAACTATTCTTGCAAATCAAGGATTTTAGGCCAAGGGAACAAATACATATATACATAACAAAAAAATATCAATTTTAAACTTGAATTTGATCGTGTATCAATTTGCAATCAATAAGCGTTGTAATTTCACATGTGTTTCAAATTTTGCCTTTCGATAGATTTTCATTTAAAACTTTGTTTAAAAAATATTCTTGTGTGACAAATGAGTTCGATTTTTTTTTTTTATGAAATAGTTGATAGGTCTAGACAAAAATAATATTAGAGTTTTTTTAACTTAAATTTGTAAATTTTGGCAAAGTTATTTAACGATAGATTTTGTGTATTAATAAAACTTCATATGAGAAATTTGATTTTTAATAAATTAGTGAGTTTTGTAGATTTTTTTTAATAAAGTGATAAAAATTATGCTGAGTTATAATATAGTTATAAATTTAAATTCATTAAAACAGATATCTTCCATCATATCAACTTAATTAGACATATTTTGTAAAAAGTAAATTGATTAGACATAAAATTTAAAATTATTTATTTTAATTGAAAAAATAAATTAAAAAAAACATATTTAAAAAACAAAAATAGGCTCCACAGAATAATTAAAATATATTAAATAAATTAAAATAGGTTGGAGTTGAGACTCAATCTAAAATATATTTAGAAAAAAATGAATAGAAATATATTTAAAAAAATAAAAACACGTAAAAATATATTTAAAAAACAGAAAGGATAAAAATATATTTCAGAAACAAAAGCAATATAAATATTTATAAAAACCAAAACAATAAAGATATACTTAAATAAAAACAATAAAAATCTATAATATATAAATAGGGATAGTGGAGAATTTTTACATACCCATTTTGTTTTTAATTAACAATTATATATACTTAAATTTTAATAATCTATTATGTTATTTATCATTTATCTATCTTCATCATATCATTTGTTTCTCTTTCATTATTTTTTTAAATTCATGTCAAATATTTAATATTTAAGCATCGAGTACATTCATTCAAATTTAAAATTTACTATAGAAAAATTATATTAAAAAATTTAATTCATGTACAAGTAGGTGAATCTAACTAGTATATTTAAAAGTACACAGACAAAGACATGTGAGAGGCGTGGATAAAAATATAAATATATTTAGAAAATAAAACTAATTAAAATATGCCTAAAAAACAAAAACAATAAAAATATATTTAATAGAACACAAACAAAACAAAAAACATGTGGCAGGCCCTTAATAAATATATTTAG